TGTTTTTCACTGCTTTGCAGAAGTCTGTTTCATTTTGCTACATCAGGAAAACTCAGGGAAGTCTTGAAGCAGTATCTTGTATTCTGTTGAAAAGCAGTTTGAAGAGAAGGCTCTGCCCTTTTGCTCTGAAGCTGGTCCACAAATTTCAGACACATAAAACCCACATCCTCTTGCTGTCTCCTGCTCTTTTGCAGGTGGTCAAGTTGTGTTAGGGCTTAAAGAGATGCTGAAGAAATGAAATGGCAGTAATACGGAAAACAAAAACGACAGGTTATAGGCAGGGGCACTGGTCCATGAGAAAAATCAAACACAAAAGTCATGTAGTTTTTTTTACTAAGACCAACCGTACCATCACAAAACAATGCAGGACCTCAGAAGAATGCACACAGTGATATTTTAGCTGGTTCTAATAAGAAACCTGTATACTTCTATTTTTAAACAGACATGAGTGTATAAGTAACTTAGGAAACACACTGTTGTGGCAATAATGATTAGCTTGTAAGTTAATGCTTAAAAACTACATATCTAACAGAAGGCAAACCTATATCAATGACTACTAGTCACAGTGAGTAAAATGGAATATTCGTATTTAGAAAAAGCATAACACCATGTGCTGGGAGCAAAAGACAGTTATTTCCATCAGACCATGTTTGTGAACTTCCCTGAGTTGTTCAGCTCGCCTTTGCTGAAAAGCAAAGTGCTGAATCAGATGGACCTTTCTTTGTTCAATGCAATTCCATCCTTATTTAAACTAATGGCTACCTTTCTAATCTTCCCATGAACAATAAGAACACATGTCTCTTTTACAGTATCGAAAACTTTATTGACCCAGATAGTAAAAATACAGTTGCTAAAAATGTGTACAAAAATTTAAATTTACAAATGTGTCAATAACAGAATGAACAGGCAAGTTGTTTTTCCCCCAAGTAATATTTACAACATTTTCAGTGTCCCCTAATTACTGCAAGGCATGTATCCTACCACACCACTGAACAAAGTTTGAGCCTTCCAACAGAAGAGCTAAAAGTCAGAGGAAGCATTTTAGCTTCAGGGTGGATACATGCTATTATATGCTGAAAATAAGCACCCAGCTAGAACACCAATAATTTTTGTTTAAGGCAATAAGTTACAAAAGGTAGAAATGTAATACAAAAGACATTAGACATTCAGCATACCATGGAGAGAATTTTGGTCTGTCAGAACCACCTTCCTTGTTTGCTTGGTAGTTACATGATTTTTCTTTGAAGTAGTTTTACTTTAGTGTTCAAAACACAGCCCAGTAAAGCTGAATAAACTGGAAAACAGGGCTGCATATCATCAAACTGGGCATGCTACTTTAAATTCTTATTGTAGTAAATACACCAAAGCAGTCATAATTGTGTTAGTTTCACAGATTAAGGGCCCAATCAGATCACTCTTATCTCATTTAAGGATGCTGCAGATTTTTCAGCAAACCTATTCAGCATTCAAACACTCCCTGTTCAGCACTCATGATCAAAGCATTAGCTGATCAAGGTTATGTTCACCTTCCAGCTGTTCTGTTGGTCAAAAGTCGACTCTTAACTGATTAAGGGTGCGGTCAGACGGCGTGCTGAGAGCGGGTTAAACTACTCCAGTTCTAACCAGATTATATTTGATCTGGATAATCACGATCACACTTACCTCCCTTATCCCGCCTCACCGCACAGTCACGTCGCTCCCCGGCTTCTACACTACTGACGCGCGGGAGCGTGTGTCGACAGGGTTTTTTGTATTTTTCCTCAGTTTGTGCCTGCCCCTCCATAGAAGGGGGGGAACTATCATGGCACATGCGCAGAACCACCAGGGCAAATCAATCCAACCCCTCCAACAAGAGACTCCTGTTTAAACATTTGACCCGAAAATGGCCTCCGTGAGATCCTGAACTCATCTAAACACTAAAACAAGTGACCGTTTAAATGTTGGTTTTCTAAACAGTGGCGGAGCTCCGCCTATGCGCACATCGCCAACACATAAAACAAATGGCGGGCAAAAAGCAGAAGCCTCGGGCAGCTTTCGAGTGGGGAGGGGATTTAGGTGAGGTGATGGGTTACACGAGGGAACCAGGATGACATCCTGGCCTGGTTCCAGACCCTTAGAAGACTTAAGACATGCTGGATGCAGGCTCGGTTTTCTCCTTGTGCTTTGATTTCTTATGCTTCTTTGCAGGAGGTTACAAATGTGATTAGACCTTAGCTGAAGGTTCTGGTGAGAGCAAACTTGGGCGCCTAGATTCTGCCTCCGGAGCAACTGAAGTGGTCCTCTTTGGGGGGATCAGAGCCGTCCTGATAGTCAGACCCGCAGGAACTGAAAAGAACAATGGTGGCCCAGAACGGGTTTCAGTAGTCAGAGCCAAGGGATGCAGACCCAAGACAGTCAGATCTGAACTTGGAATTGCTCTGGGCAGAGCTGAGGAGGACAAAGGTAGAGCCAGTTTGGTGTAGTTAAGAGCATGGACTCTAATCTGGGAGAACCAGGTTTCATTCCCAATACATGCAGCTGCTGGTGTGACCTTGGGTCAGTCATAAGTTCTGTCAGAGCTGTTCTCTCAAGGGCAATTCTTGAGAGAGCTCTCTCAGACCCACCTACCTCACAGGGTGTCTGTTGTGGGAAGGTGAAGGGAAAGGGATTGTAACCCACTCTGAAACTCCTTTGGGTAGTGAAGGGCGGGGTATAAATCCAATCTCCTCCTCCTCCTCCCAACAGCGCAGTTTTCAACCTAGAGGCCCTATCCAACCAAGGCTTTGGAGTAAAGTGCTGGTGAACTGGGCAAGTTCCAACATTGTGGGCCTCTCCCAAGCACAAGAGGCAGAGCTCATGCTCATCACTATGCATAATTTTTGTTCCACATTTGGAACATTGCTTAAACAATGCCTTGGACGCCAAGACAAGGGAGCACAAGCACAACAGGCAGGGAGAGCCTGTCTTACAACTGAGACTGCCTCCCACCAGATAGACTCTTCAAGGTGAAAAACAGTTCTTCAAGAGAGAAAGAGAAGTCTATTTTGTCTATGACAATGAACTTAAATGGAGCACACTGGAAAACTTCTTATCCTTCCAACAGCAAAAATGGAACTGAGGGAAGGGGGCGCCCCCTCTTTGGAGTTTTTAAGCTAGAAAGAAAATGTCTGCGGCTGGCCTGCACAGGCGCAATCCCAATGTGGGGTTGAACAAGAAGATGGATGCTGAACCTTTCTTGATAGTCAGAGGGAACCCACCCTCCTCCTTTTTCACCTGTGGAAGAGCTGGTTGGATCCAACCCACTGTGTAACCGAACTGAGCACATTAAAGGCTGTGTACACAACCACCTTCTGAAGGACTTTTTCTTCTTCTTTTAACCAGAGTAATATTTTATGTAAGATGGGTTGTTTTACACTGCTGGAATAAAAGATGAAACTGAGGAATCCAAATCTATACCTAGGATAAATGCAGGATCTTAATATTCTACTAGCAGAATAAAATGGGGGAAGAATCTTATTTCATCTATTGGTATTTCAAAAGACATACAGTATTCACTGGCCCCAAAAATTCGAGATCAAGTGAGATAATGAGATCTGAAGTTAATAAAATGGAAAATCAGGATTGCACGACCTCTGACAAACCACACATTTGTCTCCCACGTTCAAGAATCCATAATAAAATACTGCTTAAGAAATGAAAGCTCAGGTCATTTTTAGTCTAAATCTTTTTAGACTAAAACCTGTAGCACACAGAAGTCAGCTCCCATGTACCGAGGACACCTGACAGTATAATGTCTATCAAAGGTATATTCTATGTCTGGATAGAAAGATGGCAAGAAAAAGGAAGAGTGGACTGCAATGCCCGTTTATGCAGAATAAATGACCTTAAAAATGAAAGTTATCTATATTCAAACATCAAATTTGAAGGTACCAGAATGGAAGTATCAGTGCTGAAGCTAAATACATATGAGGTTATTGTTCTTAACTGCTGATTCACTTCTCTTCCCTCCTCCATCCCAAGACATCATTCTTGCAAAAATAAGAAAAAAGAGAAAGAAAGAAGACTGAGGTATATACTAGCATAAAATACACCTTCTGTAGTGCAAGAGACACAGCAGTTCTATGCTAACAGTTGTACAAAAACAGCTACTTCCAATTGCTGTCTAATTCCAAAATCCCTTTCTATTTCAGTGTGTAGACTACCACTAATGGCCCAGAAACATATGAGCATTCCATGAATGCTTTAAAAAGTTCTCCCAGAGATGGCATCACAGCCCAGACCCAACCGAAACACTTGGCAGAAACATCTGCACCAATGATGCCCAATGTCCCTGATGCAATATAGCTGCAGTACGTAAAGAAAGCTGCACAATTCTGGTGGGTGCAGGAGGGGGGCATCTTTCTCAGCAACATTCCAGGGGTCTTTGTGCCAAGAGGAGGCATCGAGATTGGTGCAAATGATCAGCAGCCTTATTAAGTAAGAGGAAAAAGAGATCCCCTCACAAGCAAACTAGAGATGTTTGATAGGGAAGACAGGAAAGCTGGCACAGAATAACCCGTCAGCTGCAGGAGTTGCTTGCATAGGGCAAGTCCCATTATTTTGTTATACCACATAATCCTCACTTCTAAAAACTATTTTTTTTCCTGTGCAACAAAGCGGTTTATAATAAAGATTATTTAAACAGTAAAAATATTACTAGCAGAGAAGCTCAAACAAATACATTTTGCCCATACTTTTCAAAATATTGAACCCTTCCCCTCATTACTTTAACAGAGTCTGACATAATACTTATAAAGTGGTAACATACCTGCTGCTCATCTTTTGTCTTAAGCTTACTACTCATTTTTAGAGTTTAAATAGGAAATTATTGCTAGGCATCCTCACAATACAAATTTTACTTTTCCTGAAGTGCAAACAAGAGTATCATGCTTCCTCATAAGGCACAATGTGCAGTCATTTCCAGTGTAACACAGAATCCATTTCAGGGACTGAAGATATCCCCATAACACTTCCAGTTTTTTTTAACCATTTGAACTGTTACCAGACTCTGGAGCTTTTCTGGAATCAGAAGATGAGTGAGGAAGTGGCAAAACCGACTCCTTGGTAGTCTCTGACTGGGAAACATCAAGGTGTGGATGACTGACTTGGAGTGGAAGACTTTCAATAACGTCAGATTTAGGAGTTGTCCTACATGTAGACAAAGAGAAATGTTCTACTATGAGACAATCCAAAGAACAGGCAATAAACTAAATTAACCGATTTTTAGTCAATGGGCTGGATGTATTTCATCTGTTTAAATGCTTTACATGCACAATGTTACATGCCCAGCTGCCTGCGTCTCCTGATAAAGATCTCAGGTAGCAGACCTATGAACAGACAGAATAATTAGTTGGATTCATCATCAACCTCAATATATGACAGCTTATTATATCCTTAAAGGTAAAGGTTCCCTTGCTCGAAAGCCAGTCGAATCCAACTCTAGGGTTGCGGTGCTCATCTCCGTTACAAAGCCGAAGAGCCAGCGCTGTCCGAAGAAGTTTCCGTGGTCATGTGACTAAACACCAAGGCGTACGGAACGCTGTTACCTTCCCACTGAAGTGGTACCTATTTATCTACTTGCAATTTCTTGCTTTCGAACTGCTAGGTTGACAGGAGCTGGAACAAGAGACGGGAGCTCACTCCGTCATGCGGCACCCGGGTCTCGAACTCCTGAACTACCAACCTTCCACAGCCTGCAGTTCAGCGTCTTAACCACTTGAGCCACTGCAGCTCCTTATTATATCCTTACCGCCTAAGTAAAAAAGATCTGGATTCCTATTGTACAGCCCAGATCAGGGAACCCTCATGCATGGGTCAGCAATCTTTGCCGACAGCATGATTTGTCACAATTTGGTTAGTGATGGCCTTAGAGAGGGAGGAGCCTCAGGGTGATAAAATGTGGCCATAAAAAAGCTTTTCTTAGTTTGTGGTTTGTACTCTCATAATGTACACATACTGTTTTAGCAACCAATACACTTTGTCGATATTTATGGTGTTTATGCTCACTAGAACCTGTGAGGTGGGTCCCATTTTAGAGAAGTATAACTGAGGCAAAGAGATACTAAGCCACCATGGCAAGACCAAAGCAAGTCTTTCACATCCAAATCCAACATGACTGCACTGACTGTCATAATGGTTTCAGAATCCCTGCTTAATAATCTAATTGTACCTTTGTATTTCCAATACACTTACACATCACTCTACTAATGTTTTCTATATTGGTCCCAGATCAAGTGCTCTACTGCAGTTCCATACTTGACATTGGCTGCTGCCTGCTAGCTATCCAAACCACTGTACTTGATTTTCAGTTTTCATTGAGTGGCTGTCTCATTAAGAAAACTGCTGTCAACACATGACCCACCCCTTGGCACTTTCATGGGATAGAAATAAGTTTTTTGCAAGATTTATAGTCCCATTGCCATTATTTCAAAGTAAAATATAGGCATCATCTCTTAGAAGTATATGCACAATTTTTTTAAAAGGAAGAAAACGAAGACAGCCTGACCTTCCTTCAAGCATCCTCTTCATGCTTTCAGATACGCTGGTCGTGTCTTGTGCGTTGCCTGCCTTCCTTCTTTTTTCTGTCTGTTCCGAAGCCACTCTAGAGCCTGATGACATTTGCAATGCACTCTGCTCACTGCAGGCACGTCCTTCCTTCTCCACTTTTTGGCTGGGCACCCCATCTGCTTCTGTTTCTCTCCCAGATGTTTCTGGACAGCTCTTGATTTCAGTGAAAGTCTCTTGGCTTAAATAATCGTGGTTTGCAATTGCCACACCAGAAGTTCCATGATTGGTTGTGACCCCTGTACTAGTCCCCATAGATTTTGAGATCACCTTCAGTTTATGAGAGCTGGACTTGTAGTGCTTCTTCTTATGCTTAGCTTTAGAGTTGTGCTTTAAGAAAAATTCACACGACTCTTGCAACACTCTCCTGCTTTCACGTATAGGACTGAGGAGGGGGAAAAAAGCCAATTATTTAGAAGATGTTCTGAAAACAATGCCAAAACTTCCACTGATTTCAAATATAATGACAGACTGCACCCTACATAATTTTAATTGATATGGAGCAAGTCTACTGAAACAGGGACACATCATTTTTTTCATTTATATAACACTGAAATGCAAAGTGCTACGCAACCTTATTTGTCATCTTCCCAAGGACCTATGAGCTGGATAGTTACTAATTTATTTCCCCCCACCGCCTGGGATAAAACACCACTGGTGAATGCTTGACATCTATTAGTCATACTAAAAAAACATATCGTTCTTCAATCTTGTATGTGTAATGTGAAATTAAAAAGGGGACGCTGAGAGACAGAGAGATTTGCCCTAGGCTACTCAATGAACCCATTTCTGAGCTGGAATCTGATCTCAGAACCCACATCCAATGTATTATGAACTGAAGCACAAACCACACAGATTCTCACTGGCCAAGTCACGTGTGCACATTAAGAGAAACATGGCCAGATTCTGTTAGTTTAAAGAATACATGAAACTTGGTCCTCCTCTATAGCTTTGTATGCTTCCTTGACCTGAAGCCCCTTTGTTTTCCACTCTCTTACTGCCAAGCGCACACAAACTCACCAGACCCCAAGCATGTGGAATATTTCTCCAGCTATATTTCCTCCCTAGCTCTCAACTCCTTGCCTTTACCTTCTGTCAGATCTCACGAGGCTTTTATGTTCTTATATGTTGTTAGGATTTACAGAAAATGGGGTAATCTAGTGCCCGGAACAGGATACCCCAGGATAGCCCAAACTCATTAGATCTTGGATGCTAAATAGGGTCAAACCTGATCATCATTTGGATGGAAGACCACCAAGGAAGTCCAGGGTTGCAATGCAGAGGTAGGCAATGGCAAACCACCTCTGAACATTTCTTGCCTTGAAAACCCTACAGGACTGCCGTAGGTCAGCTGCAACCTAATAGTTCTCTCCACCACCAATCTAGTGGAGCATTATATTCCAACAGTGGCTGCCAGGTGCCTCCAGGAAACATTTATGAAACTCAGTGCCATGAGATGTGGTGGTAAACACGGCATTAGATGAATTTAAAAGGGGCTGGATAGATTTAAGAAAGACAGGTCTGTTGCTGGCCATTGGTTATAGCAACTGAATAGGACCTCCAGAGGTTCAGAGGCATTTTACCTCTGACTGTTAGATGCAAAGCAGCTGAGGTCTGTGTGTCCTCTTTTCTTACAAACAGGATAGAGCCCCGCTCTACCTAGACCTTGAAAACCCCTCAGGTTGCCGTAAGTCAGCTGTGACTAGATATCACTTTCCACCACCACCAAGCCACATACAGCTGTTCCCATCTCCAAAAGCTCCCCATCTAATCGAAACTGACCTGTTTTTTTTTCCCTACAAAATCTGTATTGTTTGCATAAATTTGTGCAGTTCAGACATCTACTCCAACCATTCAGATATATCACATGATATCACACCAGGTGCTTGCAGGCTTTTTTAAAAAGTGCAACAGAACAACAGTATGTAAAATTACTAACATAAAAGTGTGGGTATGTAAGTAAAGCAGACATAACAGGGGAAGAAAGGGTTATATATTTGTATTAGGTAAAAAAATCTATTAAGTAAAAACATATGAAATAACTAAACAGGAGTGGAAAAAGAGGGGATAAGGAATGGAATCTATATGTTCACTGTTAAGGAATGCAGACTGAGGAAGCTTAGCAACTGCTTGCAAAGCTTTATTGGAAAGGTCCAAAGGAATACAGGAACATAAAACCCACATTAAGACTCCAGTATGGGCACGGAAAAAATATGAAGATAGAAACTACAAATAGCCTCTTTATAACTACACAAAAAATATTCAGTAAGGAAGTTCAGACTGAATTGAATTCTCCCTATAACAAATTCCAGGAAACAATGATCTAAACAAAAAAAGAAATTCAGAATCTTCAAAGACTATTTAGTTGCATGAAAAATAGAGAAGCTGAACAAAAAATCAAGGAAGTTCTCAGAAAGTTATACCAGAATCAAATAATTCATGCAAATAATGAAGACTGGGGGGAAAAAATCTTGGAAACAATAGGTTTGGGATTGCAAGTAGACATGTAGGACCCAAAGAAAAAATTACAGAACCACATACGATCTTTTATCAGGACCAATGAAAACACAAAACTGTGTGTAACCTTTTAAAGTCACCAGGACTCTTTATCATAGCTGTACATTTTAAAAAATGGAACAGGAAGAGGAGAAAAGAGCAAGAGTCTGGTAGCACCTCAGAGAGTAACAAAAGTTGTGGCAGGGTACGAGCTTTTGTGAGTCACTGCTCACTTCTTCAGATCTGAAGAAATGAGCAGTGACTGACGAAAGCTCATACCCTGCCACAAGTTTTGTTATTCTTTGAGCTGCTACTGGACTCTTGCTCTTTTCCACTGCTACAGACAGACTAACTCGGCTACCCATCTTGATCTATCTCCAAGGAAGGGGAAAGAAAAAAATGTTTCAGGCCTTGATCCAAAGGCCTCTTGTATGCATCTGGTATAAAGTGTCTTGCAGATTGCTACAGAGTAAATTGTATTGTTACCAATTTGTACCTCTAAGCTTTGGGAAGAAAAAGGGAAAACAGCAGCCTACTGCTGAAAATAAGAAGCTAGCTGGTAGACGAACTGCCACAGCCTGAATAGCCCAGACTAGCTTGAGCCCATTAGAGCTCGGAAGCTAAGCAGGGTCAGCCATGATTAGAACTTGGATGGGAGACCACCAAGGATTTAAAAAATCTCTGCTCATTCTCCTGCCTTGAAAACCCCATGAGGGGTCAGCCATGAGTTGGTTGTAAATGGACAGCTGCTGCTATTATTATTATCATTATCCTCATCATCATCTGATCAACTAACTGTGTGCTCAAATGTCTGACTAAACTGCAGCCATGCTGCTACAAATTAAGCACTCAGTGTCTTGCAAGAAAGGACCATTTTACCAAAGAACTGACTGTTTACCAGGGATGCCTTATAGCTAGTTAACTGTTGCTAAAAAAAAGTCATAACTTAGTTGAAATAAGTAGGGGGCTTGCTGACAGTGTAAAGGTCAACTAGATTTTAATCCAGCATATATTTTCATGGATTAGATACATACATGTGTGTCACTAGGCAGACGTATAAATGAGGTTGTGATGAAAAAATGTAAACATAAAGGTCAAAGGGCCATGAGATGCAAGAAGCATTGAGTGAGAAAAGTCCAGAGAACATTTAGCATAGCAGTACTTGGCAAGCTCCCTAATTTTGTTAACAATGGAGGCCCAGGTAGCAGCCACTGCCAAGGCAGCCTTTTACCATCTACAGCTGATTAGGCAGCTGGTTCCCTTCCTTGAACGCAATGACCTGGCAACGGTGATCCATGCAATGGTCACCTCAAGATTGGACTACTGCAACGCTCTCTACATGGGGCTGCCCTTGTCCCAAATCCGGAAGCTGCAGCTGGTGCAAAATGCAGCAGCCAGGCTGTTGATGGGTCTCTCTATACGAGAGCACATCACGCCTGTGCTGAAGGCACTGCACTGGCTGCCAATAGCATACCGGATTCGCTTCAAGGTGCTGGTTTTTACCTTTAAAGCCCTATATGGTCGGGGGCCTGCCTACTTGAGGGACCGCCTTTCCCTGCATGTCCCCCAGAGAGCACTGAGGTCAGGGACCCAAAATCGCCTGACCGTCCCCGGTCCAAAAGATGCTAAACTGGCTGTCACCAGAGCCAGGGCCTTCTCGGTGGTGGCTCCATACTGGTGGAACAAGTTCCCAAAAGATACTGGGGCCCTGCGGGACCTATTACAGTTCTGCAGGGCCTGTAAAACAGAGCTCTTCCACCAGGCCTTCAATTAGGAGCCGCGACTGAGGAACAAGTACTGGAAATTGAACCAGCAAGGCCCTTAAGCTATGTTATAGACAATAACAGCCCACTTTAGGACACGCCATCTGCACTAATCACACTTTATGCATACTACGGTTCAGATTTGTTATGTATTTATGTATTGTATTTTATTGTATTTAGTCCATGTACGCCGTCTTGCGCCTGCATGGCAAGCAAGGCAGGATATAAATCTAAAATAATAAATAAATAAAACAGTTAACAACTGCAGTAGCTGAGGAATCCCAAATCTGAGGGAGATGGTGTCACACTTCCTGAGGAACTCTCAGTTTCTTGCTAGAATTTTCTTTTGCTAGACAATAGTGACTTAGATCCCCAACAAATGTGCCCATTGACCCCAACAAATGTGCCCTTTGAGAGCCAGTTTGGTGTAGTGGTTAAGTGTGTGGACTCTAATCTGGGAGAACCGGGTTTGATTCCCCACTCCTCCACTTGCACCTGCTGATGTGACCTTGGGTCAGTCACAAGCTCTGGCACAGCTGTCCTTGAAAAAGAGCAGTTTGTGTCAGAGTTCTCTCAGCCCCACCCACCTCACAGGGTGTCTGTTGTGGGGAGGGGAAGGGAAAGGAGTTTGTAAGCTGCTCTGAGACTTCAAGTGAAGGGCGGAGTATAAATCCAATCTCTTCTTCTTCTAGAGTTTATAATCTTTTTCTTCATAACCTTAAATATGTATAGTACATCTGGCTAGACTAACATGGCTACTTCCCTGACTACAGCCACCTGTACGGCATATGTTCAGCCAGAAAAGGAGTGATCCCTGTTCCAGTTGCTGCTAGTCCACAAGGAATGGTAGACAGTTCCAGGGAAAGGGAGGGCTGAACAGTGGCAGTAGCTCAAGACCTCCTGCAAGAGGAAGTATCACTTTAAAATGATACTTTAAACTTTTTAAAGGGCATTTTTGCACTACTGGAACTCCTAGAGGGGGAGCGGTGGCACAGAGGATTTATCCTCTGGTTAACACCTGAACTGAATTGCTGTCAGTTCTAGCCCGCGCTGGTGTGAGCTACCAGCCTTGTCCCCAGCTCGCTGTCCACCCAGCGGTTCGAAAGCTTCGGCGAGTAGATAAAATGGGTACCATTCCTTAGAGAGGGTGGGCACACTAAATCCCCGTAGGGGAGGTGTTAGCCGGCGAATGGAATGTCCACCTCGTAAGCTTAGAAGCCTAGAAAAAAGACCTCTTCGGCATTAAGAAGCCTGTGATGGGCCAATCCGGCCAGGCGGTAGCAGTGCGGCGCTACGACTCAAAAGCAGCCCAGGAAGAACCAACGTCATCCAGCCAAGCCGAAGTGAATGCCGTCTGGAACACGTCTGAAGCCTTCAGCTGAACAAAATCCCCGTCGGCTGCAAATGTGTGCGATTTAAAGAATTATATGTTGTCCTCCCTTACCCCTATGAAATTGTTAGTCCCTTGTGTGAAACCTGTGTAACTGTAAATTGCTCAGAGCCAGTAGCTCTGCCGGATTGAGCGATCAATAAATCGAAAGGTATTATTAGTATTATTATTATTATAGCTAAGTTAGGAAAAGATCCAAAGCAAATTTTTAACAGAAAAACAGGTGCATGGTTATATACATCATACATATAAAATACACATCTTAAAGCATATTAGTTACAAGTCTAACAATAAAAGGCATTTTATAAATAGTCTCCCTACTATCACCACCACTGCAAGACAAAACAAGCAAGTCTTACTCTCTTTTGCGATTTCTGTTGAAGAAACTTGCCCATTCAGAACAGGTCTTTTTACTTCCGACCCAGAATACTGGAGATATGCCAACAATTAAGGTCATCAGATATTTCATCAGAAACAAAATTATTTCTGGCCTTTTTAATACCTTCACCTGGAAAACAATAACCATTCAGTGAGAATACAATAGAAAAATGGTTTTCCTGCTTTACATTTCAGAGTACAAAACCAAGGGTGCCACAATACTCTCTTGTATGACATCCGCTCTCCTGCATTCTGGACTAAAATAAATGAATACGTGCCATGCACACAATCGCACTCATTTGTTCTAGAAACGGTAGGTGAGACCCTGTGAAGTACAGCACCTAACATTTCAAACTAGGACGGGGGGGACAGGACACCTGGATTCAAATTCCTACTCAGTCATGAGATTCATAGGGTGGCCTTGTGTTAGTCACTCTTTCATGCACACTACCCTACTTTACAAGGTGATTGTAAGGATGAAAGGGAGGAGGGCATTTATGCTGCCTTGAGAAGGGTTGGGGGAAGGGAGAAAAATCACAACAGAATTCTGAGCATGTTTACTTTTTAATATTAACTTCTCATGCTCAGTCCAAAGCTTAAAAGATCTAAAAACACATTTTATTACATGTTGGGGGGGGGGGAACAAGTGACGCGAAATAACTAAAAGAGAAATAAATAAAATACAGCCATGGACTGAACCAACCCAAATCTTTTCACAAAACTAGAATTCCCCAAAATTAGAGGAGGCCTAAGGAAAGCTCTTTAATGTTCAGAGAGGCACAGTTCTGGCACAAAACCTAAACCTCCAGATGTAACCACAGAGATCAATGAAAAAGAACTGTGACCGATTATTCTAAGTGGACTACCGGACAATTTCTTTAGTGAGTGTGTAGTGAAACATGTTCATATCATTTAAATGCACGGGAAGGATGATGGAATTGATTACTTGCAGTTAATTAGGTGAGGCAGAATCTTTAGAGTGCTTTGGAGCAATGTATGTCTGTGTGTTCACTGCAAATTTAATCTACTCTTATACAGAACATCCTGACAAAAGCAATGATATTTTATTCAAGTGCTTACTTGCCCATCTTGTCCAACAGACTCAACACATTCAGATCTCTCTGTATCCTGCTTATTTTTATTCAGGAATTTTATTAGCTGAAGTTTGATCAATATTATTCATTGAGTTAACCATTTTAAAAAGCTTGGAATAATCTGAATGTATTGAATTATTACTTCAATGTCTGAGAATAGAAAAATTACAATGCAAAACAGGGAGTTCACTGTGATTCCGATAAAATAATCTTTGTAAAAGAATACCTACAGCATTTTAGATAGGTACAGTATCTGTGTTTAATTGCTGCTGCTTTGATAGTTGATTTTGTATTTTATATTTATTGATATTTAGTACATTGTTGTTTTAAATAATCTTTGATAGAAGCTACCTTGGATATAGTGATGTAGAGACACAGAATACAGACAGTCTTAACAAATATAGTCTAAAAATATACGTAAAATATCTGGGTAAGAAAATTTAACTTTTGCTGCTGCTTGCCATTTTACCACTTTAGTGGAAGGAAAAGTATGTTTAAGCTCCAATCCTGAAAATTAGTTTGCTCCAAATTATTATCTTCAGTGGGAGCAGATGGATTTAAAATTCACAGCATTAAACTCTTAACAATGTATTAGTTTTGTTTTTAAAAACAAACAATAGAGAAAAACATTTCTTTTTCCAACTCTTTCATTAAGGGGGATATAAGAGAAAACTACAAACTGCAGACTTCTGTTTCAGCATGCCCTGAAACACTCCCCCCACTCCAGCCTTTTGTACATAACATCCAGTCTGAAGAGGAGTTCTGTGGAACCAGAAAGCCTTCCCTCACTATTTCTATTTTGCTACTCCTAATAAAAGAAATCTGTTCACCTTCCTCCAGCAGGAGTCATTCACAGATGCTCTTCTGAGCATCTTGAGTCAGGAGAAGACTCTTGCCATAGGAAAGTGCTCCCATTGGTGGAAGATATCCAAAGTATACAACCCTGTCTGGGAATTTTTTCTATGTACCACTACAGGTACCTACAACTGTAGACATTTTGGGGTTTTCTACAGCATACACACTTTGAAGTATGTGTATCTGCACAAAGACATGGATTTACTTTTCTAAGGAGAAGGCGATTAGATAACAAAATACCTACTGCCATAATGAGCAGTAGAGAAGGATCCCCCCAAAGGGCCTTAGCATCACAGAGGACCTGTTCACAACCATCTTTTTCACAGTCAAATGTCCTATGATACACAACACAGTAATATCACATTTGTAGCTGAAAACCAAAGCCCTAGTGCTGTACACACACAATATTAATATACCTCAAGAATCTTTGTTATCAAAGCATAAATTCTGCAACTAGTTTGCCATTACCTGATAAGGGCAGGGTATATGGAATTCATCACAGTGATCGGCGACCCATGTAGTTTCCCAGATCTTCCTGTACACCTGCTCATAGATGTAACATCCTAAGAGCATCACTAGAGGTACAAGATATAAGCCGCTGAAGACACCAATTCTAATCATGAATTTCTTTAGTTTTTCTTGATTCCTGCCATCATTCTGTATGACTTGCCGTACATGATTTAGAGAAATTATGCCAGCTAAGAGAAGAGACAGTCCAACAATGACACAAAGGCATAAAGGCAGTAGGACAAAGTATCGGGAAGCATCCAAGTCATAGAGACCAACAAAACAAACGCCGCTGATATTGTCACCTTCCACTTTGTTCATGGCAAGAAGCATAATGGTGAGAAAGCCAGGCACACCCCAGGCAATTGCATGAAACCACATTGCTTTTTGTTCAATAGCTTCACAGCTCCATTTTCGTCCAGCAGCTAGGAACCAAGTAACTGTGAGGATCACCCACCAAACAGTTCCTGCCATGGTGAAGAAATACAAAGCCATAAAAACAATTGTGCAGCCTTTGTTCTGAGAACCAAGAACAACCATTTCACCTATTCGTAGTTTTTCATCTCCCTTATTGCAGGCCATTCGATTACCTAGGACAAACCCAAGAAAGTATACCAGAGACACTATGCTGCAACAAACAGAATAATATATTATCGGCCTCTCTGGATACCTGAACCGTTTAACATCAATCAAAAATGTTAGGAATGTGAATAGAGTGGCACAAAGGCAAAAAATTGAAACTATCCCAATGAAGCTTTTGGCAACATCTAGCTCATGATCACTGAAGTACATATTGGGACACGGGGGCGCACACTGATCAATTCCTAAAAATTTGTAGCCTTGTCCATTGGAAGTCTGCAGGTGTCGTGGACACCAAAATCCATAATCCCTTCTAGGCTGTCCTGGAGTCTTCCGAGTGTCAGGTGTCCTCAAGGCTGGAAGAGCAGTGACAGGAACAGTTTCATCACAATCCTCCAACCTACAAAGTTAAGAAAAAATTCAGAAATGCCATAGAGTTGACCCAATCGTTCTGGCCATCATATACTGTTTTTTCTCCTAGAGTCTTAAGACAGATTCTTTAAAAGAACTTTATAAAATGTAAAGCTGATCTGTAACTGGATTTGCAAAGAATAATTTAAGAATATGATCTATTACCTGCAGAGCTTACATTAAATGAAAAATATATTAAACAAGAAGAGGGACCCATGATATTCGCGAGGGGGGAGAATCCCCCCTGGCTCCAGGAAGCAGGAGGACCTCAGGGCTGAGGAGGAAGCAGCCACAGGTAAGCTTCCCCCCTCGGCTCTGGCGGCGAGGCCCGAGAAGCTTCCAACCGCTGATCTCCTCCTCCCCTCAGCTCTGGCGATCTCCTCCTCCTCTGCCGTTGCTGATCTCCTCCTCCCCCCCAGGTCCAGCGATCTCCTCCCCCCCCCCTCCCCCCCGCCGATTTCTTCTCCCCCCTCGCTCCTACAGTGAGGCCTGAGTGACTTCCAGCCACCAGCCCGCCGCAGAGTCCCCAGAGCGTTTTCTGTGCCTGCGCAGGGAGCACTCTTTTACTTTTGGGGGGATTTAAATATCCCCCGCATATTTTTTCCAAGTTTCCAGATTTTTCTGCACATATGGGGATTGCCCAAAATGTGCAGGAAAAGCTCCCTGCCCCCAATGTGCGGATTTAGATATCTGCATGGAGGTGGCATGTTGGGAATTAGATATACAGATGATGTACATTTTTGAACAAAAAAGGTCTCAAGATTATTTCCTTCAGTTACCATTTTGCAAATCAAGAAAAATTGCTTATGTGTATTTTCTAATTTGTAAGCCAATAAAAATATACCATTAGAAAGCAACACCTGCTTCTTCCTTCCTTGGCTCTCAGGACACTGAAGACATCATGTCCTGGCAGTGAGGGCTAAAAACATTCAGAAAGAATACTGTTGAGCATTCCCAGGAATACTGGGAAAGGTGGTAGTAGAGGGGGAAAAATCCCCCCCCCCAAGCAATCTACTTTGAGGATTGTATAGTTTTAAATACTGGGAAGCACAGCGCTGTTTAAATTTGCTTGTTTTATTGTAAACCGGTATGAGCAACAAGAAAAAACAGTGAAGAAATACAGCAAATTAAAGATACCATAAGCAATAATTCAAGTGCAATAAAATAAGCCAAATAATCTATACATTTAAAACTATAAATTTAAAAGCCAAGCAACAGTGAGATAAACAATTGAACGGCCAAGTGAAGTTCTGTAGAGACAGATGCATCTGGGAACATTTCCTGGTAAAGCCATATTTTAACCTGGCAATGATGAGGCCAGGAACATCCCAACTGGCAGCATTCTACACCGTGAGTTCCACTAAAGAGAAAGGAAAGCCCTGTGCCAGTGGGGCATGAGACAATTCCTGCTCTACCATTCGTGAGGCAAGTACATATGGAAGGAGGTGCTCTCCAAGATACACAGAGGTCATCAGCAGCACTCTCAACTGGACTGAGAAGCCAATGCAGCCAAGCGAGAACAGAAATATCATCCCTGTGATCCACCCAGTCAAAGGACAACACGTAGCATTCCACATTAGCTAAAGCTTCCAAACAGTCAAATCTTAATTTTGTATGCTATCATCACTAAGGGACACCCATTTACAGCTCTTAACTGAATATATGAAGATATTTACATGTGCAGAAAGCCCCAAGGTTTCAATAGCCTCAAGGAATAGACTTTGTTAATAACACAGAAATGCTTGCAGTTGTCAAGGAAAAAATTATGGGAAAACTCTGTACCTGTCACATTCGAGCTCCTTGGGCCACATAATTCCAAAAGTGTCTATTAGTTCTTTACAGTCCGAGTAAACTCTTTCACAAAGACTTCGACATGGGTAAAATACATGATTTTTTCCCACGCAGGAAGGTACAAATGCTTTGCATAAAAATGTGTGGACATCAGGAGAGCACGGGATTTTCAAAAGAGGAGCAAATGGCTGTTGGGGAAAAACAAATATTTTTATTAGAAAATTACTTTAAAATGCCTTAAAGTAAAGCAAAGCTGACTTTAGTCAACGCAGCCTACATTCATTTTCATACAGAAATGACTTGGGCTTGATGCAGATCAGAGGTATTACAGACCAGAAGTCTGGGGTCAATATTTCAGGTCTGGACCCACCCCTTTGCCTTCCGTTAATCCCACTCCTGTCCCTTCCATCTGGCTGCCTTGTTACAGTCCTTCTCTTACTGCTCCTTTCAATGAAGCATGAGTGTATATCTTTGCAGCCTGCCCCCAGCAACCTCCTGAGACGTCAAAAAAACCTGGACCCATGTGGAACCCTTCCTCTTTTGGACCCTTCCTCTTTTGAACAACAAATTTAGAGTCCAATGGCACCTTTAAGACCAACAAAGGTTTATTCAAGATATGAGCTTTCATGTGCATGCACACTTTATCAAATATGTTAGAATAGCAGGCAAGGTTCAAACTTATAGCCAGAGAATGAACAGCAAATTAACATGCAACATGATGATGATCAAGTAAAGTGACACTAAATAACAAGTTAAGGTTATAGAGTCAACAGTTGTAAAGCAATAAATATGTCAAACTAGCAGGAAAATGTCTACAGTTTTCTTTTCTAATTGTGGAAAGTGACTGGGAATATTTATTATTATGAATATTTCTGAATCTGAATTTTATAGTTCCGGATATTCTGAATAATTCCTAATATTAAGAGTCCCCATTGACTTCTATAGAAAGCGGGCTAGACGGTTTGCAAAAGGAGGAAAGTGAAACCTGTTCCTCAGTCAGCCAGGCCAGGCCCGGCCACTTGTGAGAGGATACAAGCATTCCTCAGAGAGTCTGGCACCAAGGATGGGGGGAGCAGAGAGCTCAGTGTCCTCTGATCGGTGTTGCCACAGTTTTGCCAGAATGAGGTCACAGCAGAGACAGAGGTGGAGGCACACATGCAAGAGCCCTGGCAAGCCAACAGAGAATGATTCACTTGGCTTACTGGGCTGAGAAAGGGTCTGTTCAAAGGGTCTGGCCAAGGTGGCAGTGAGAGTGATGTCCTGCCCACTATCCAGTGTGGCCAGTAAAGCAGGTATTTTTCTCTGGCAAGGGACACTGCCTGTCCACACTGCTCATAGCTGAAACCTGGATCTATGGAAAAACTGGTTCTCCTTAGGGTCAATCTATCACTACTGGGCTTCCCTGAGGTGCTCTTTGCGCAGGAAGGAACAGCACACTCCAATCCACAGTACAGTCTGCTGCCTCTTACCTTCTTCCAATTGCTGCTCCAAGACGGTGCACAACCACTCCACTGTGTGATGTCTAGTGCTGCTGGTGTAGTTCCTACCTAGCTACCACTGTCTGCTGCTCTAGTCTTCCAGTGTTGCTCAGGGTATATGCCACACCCCAGCACCAGCGGTCTTCTGCTCTACTGACCCAGGCCCATTGCTGCCCTGGTAGCATTTGCACTGTTCAGGATTCATGCTCAGCTTGCACGCATTTCCTAGGGCTATCTGCAACTAGTGGCTGTTGCTGCATGCATGTCTCACAGCTTCTCTCTGGGGTTGGCACAGGCACTGAGAAAGGGTCAGAGAGCTGAGGGTGCCCTTCTCTGTTTTGTTAGAGTGGAAAATGGCTATTCCTATTGAGTTCAATGGAGGACCAGAATTTCCACATTCTAGTGCTAGTGCACATCCCTAAGAGATAGTAACGTACACACTGAAATTTGTAATCAGTAAAAGAAAGCCTGTATACTATTACTGAACAATATTGTGGGTTATATCCAGCCAGTTTTTTGCATTATTTCACCCAACTGCTTTTGCCCTTGGCTTTGTATATTCTCCAATAGTAAATCACATAATATAGTTCACTTTCAGTTAAAATTTATCCACCATGTTTTTCTGTCAGATAACAGACTTTCGTGGTTGCAAGTCACCTCCATCTGATTTTTTATTCAGCAGAAATCCAATTACATCTACAAACAAATGGTATGCCATTTCTGTCAATGTATCATGCTATTTCTATCATGTATGATGCTATTTGGAATTCAAGATATAAATATGCAGAATCCTGTCTTTTGAATGTTTCACTACTCTAACATTTAGAAAGGAATATTTGACTTCTGCTTCATTGACTATGCTAAAGCCTTTGACTGTGTGGATCACAACAAACTATGGCAGGTCCTTAAAGAAATGGGAGTACCAGACCACCTCACATGTCTCTTGAGAAACCTGTATAAGGGTCAAGAAGCGACAGTTAGAACCGGATATGGAACAACTGATTGGTTTAGCATAGGAAAAGGAGTACGACAAGGATGTATATTGTCACCTTGCTTATTTAATATATATGCAGAGTACATCATGCGAAATGCTGGCCTGGATGAATCACAAGCGGGAAGTAAGATTGCTGGGGAAAAGATCAGCAACCTCAGATATGCAGATGATACCACTCTAATGGCAGAAAGTGAAGAGGACCTTAAGACCCTCTTGCTCAGGGTAAAAGAGGAGAGTGCAAAAGTGGGCTTGAAGCTCAACATAAAAAAACCCTAAGATTATGGCATCCGGCCCCATCACTCCTTGGCAAATAGAAGGGGAAGTCGTGGAAGTAGTGACAGACTTCATGTTCCTGGGATCCCAAATCACCGCAGACTGTGACAGCAGCCATGAAATTAAAAGACGCCTGTTCCTTGGGAGGAAAGCGATGGCGAACCTAAACAACATGATAAAAAGTAGAGACATCACCCTGCCAACAAAAGTCCGCATGGTCAAAGCAATGGTATTCCCAGTAGTCATGTAAGGCTGCGAGACTTGAACTATAAGGAAGGCTGAGCGCCGAAGAATAGATTATTTTGAACTATGGTGCTGGAGAAGACTCTTGAGAGTCCCTTGGACTGCAAGAAGATCAAATCAGTCAACCCTGACTGCTCCCTGGAAGGCCAGATAATGAAACTGAAGCTCAAATACTTTGGCCACCCAATGAGAAGGGAGCATTCACTGGAGAAGACCCTGATGCTGGGAAAGACTGAAGGTCAAAGAAGACGGGGACAGCAAAGGATGAGATGGTTAGACAGTGTCATAGATGCAACGAACATGAAATTGAGCAAACTTCAGAGGACGGCGGAAGACAGGAAGGCCTGGTGTGATCTGGTCTATGGGGTTGTGAAGAGTCGGACTCGACTGTGCGACTGAACAACAACAAAAATTTGACAGCAGACATGTCACAACTGGAATAAATTCAGTGAAATGTGCAATTTCAATAGCTGCGAGTATTTAGTACAAAACCCAAGGTGTGATTCTTCTGCAAACATTCTAGCTTCTGCCAAGATGGCACTTTCTCCAGATTCTTCTGTAGACTGTCCCATTCTGAATAGGCCAAGTAGATATAAAATTCATCAGGCATTGAGTTCGTGAAATAAAAATTCTGCTCGTACTGAACATTTGCAGTGCCTACATCATGTATCACAATTATATGTTTCTGCTGCCACTCTTTAGCTGAAACACAGGGCTGGAACTTATGACTGCATTCTACTAATGATGAGCTTTCTGTTGGCAGACACACCTCTTCCACAGGAAGAGGGCAAGGTTCTGTTGCTAGTGAACTGATCATTATTTTGTACTGAAAAAAATGAATCCACCAAGATTCTGGAATTCTACCCTAAACACACTGAAGAACCCTCTCTCTAAATAGAAACATCATCTACATAATGTCTGTAAGGAAGAGACCAGCTCAGCTGCAAAACTGCAACACTGAAGAACTAAGTGAAGGGTAGAGCGGGAGGCCTGACTAAAGATGTGAAGGCATGGGAAAAAACTGGAAAAATTTGGGGGGAAACCGGTTTCCCCCCGTTTTTTTCCTGAAACCTTCCCCCCCCCCCGAAAAATTGGAAAAAATGAAAAAAGAAAAGAAAAAAATTGATCATGGAACGTTTTATTTTAACATGATGAATAAAATATTTTAAGACAAGGTGTTCAAATATTTTCCAAATCATTTCTTTTATATACACACACACACACACACACACAAGCAAGTCCTAGGTTACAAACTGAACTCTCCAATGCAAGAACAAGATGCATTTCTTCCTTTGGGAGGTGCTATTGTCAGAAGAAAATAAAAAGGTTTCAGTTTTGTTTTTGCATGTGGGTGGGTATTCTGTTTGTAATAATTGTTTGGATACACTATATTTTTAATATGCTAATTGTGATAATTTCATGCCAAGTAAAAATGTCCATAGTCATATTTTATGTTCCTAAAGTAACAGACCCCCTAATGGATCACTGCC